GGAGCTCAGGGGAGACCTCATTGCTCTCTATAACTTCCTGAAGGGAGGTTGTGGTGAGCTGGGGGTCGGCCTCTTCTCTCGTGTCATCAGTGATAGGACCAGGGGGAATGGCTTCAAGCTACGGCAGGGGAGATTCAGGCTGGACATGAGGAAGTATTACTTTTCAGAAAGGGTGGTCAGGCACTGGAATGGGCTGCCAAGGGAGGTGGTGGAGTCACCGAGCCTGGGGGTGTTCAAGGAAAGGCTGGATGTTGTGTTGAGGGACGTGGTTTAGTGGGAGCTATTGGGAATAGGTGAACGGTTGGACTGGGTGATCTTTTAGGTCTTTTCCAACCTTGGTGATTCTATGATTCTATGATTCTACTCTGCCCTGGTGAGGCCTCACCTGGAGCACTGCGTGCAGTTCTGGGCTGCCCAGTACAAAACAGACAGGGATCTCTTGGGAAGAGTCCAGCGGAGGGCCACCAAGATGGTGAGGGGCCTGGAGCATCTCTTCTATGAGGAAAGGCTGAGTGAACTGGGTCTGTTCAGCCTTGAGAAAAGAAGGCTGAGAGGGGACCTGATCCAGGTCTATCAGTATCTGAGGTGTGGGGGGCAGAATGGCGAGGCTGGACTCTTTTCAGTGGTGAATGGAGACAGGATGAGGGGAAACGGCCGGAAACTGCAGCATAGGAAGTTCTGCACCAATATGAGAAGGAACTTCTTTACAGTGAGGTGACGGAGCACTGGAACAGGCTGCCAGGGAGGTGGTGGAGTCTCCTTCTGTGGAGATGTTCAAGACCTGCCTGGATGCCGAGCTGTGCGACCTGCTGTAGGGAACCTGCTTTGGCAGGGGTTGGACTCCATGAGCTCTGCAGCTCCCTTCCAACCCCTACAGTTCTGTGATGCTGTGATTCCGTGAGATTTAGAGGTGGACAACTGAGTTTTTTGGGAAGGAAAAGTTGGTTTCTGAGGGAAAAAAAAGTGAGAAAAATTAGTTTTGGGGGAAGGAAAGTTGGTTTTGAGGGGGAAAAACATTGGTTTTAGGGAGGG